ACCTTCTTTATACAATGATGATGATGATGATGATGATGATCATGATCATGATGATGATGATGATGATGATGATGAGGATGATGAGAATGATTATGAGGATGATTATGATGATGTGCATATGTGTCTGTATGTACTTGTTTGTTCTTGCATGCTGGCTCTATTGCATACATTTCTTGTTTTAATACACGAAGACCCGTTACCAGCACGTACTATTAGGTGATCCAGAAAAAAAGCGTAAATATCTCTCCTAAAAATTGTTCCTATAGAATGCAGTAATGACGATCTGATGAAATTAACTTAAAAGGATTTTTTGGGTATAAAATTCAAGAAGAAACATCAATTTTCCAAAAGAGAAATGGCATAGAGAAAACAACACGTAAAAACACAAAATTCTCCAATTGTGAGGCAGCGTGGTGGAATCAGGCTCTCATCAAAATAATCAAAGTGAAGAAACTTGCATTTTTCCGCAGGTTTGTGAATTTTTATCATATTTTTGCTTTTGGGCTCAACACCTTTTATGGCAATTAAAGAACTCATTTATGTGTGGATTTTACTGAAAAACGTTGATTAAAGGCACACAAGATATACATTTTCAGTTACCACGGACTCTTAAGCTAAAGAAATAACTAATCTTTTTCAGCCATTTTCTCACTAATTTTACCTCTGAAAACAGGTGACCCCCACCTCCTTCATTCACAAATATCTCGACTTGTATTCAAGATAAACGGATATTTTTTTCATCCAAATAAAGACAAGTGAACAAGCTTTAAGATGATGCCAATAACTCTATGTGCTCAAAAATTGACGAGAGCCTGATTCCACCACGCTGCCTCACAATTAAAAACAAACCTTATAAGGAAAATCATGGAACGATTGATTTTACTTTTTTTTCTCCCTTTCCTGTTTTGATTTTTTTCAATTTATCCAATCCTGCGACATTTAAACAATATCTAATTTCTCTTACACAGTTAAAGAACTTGCATTTTTATACTGGAATTCCTAGAACAAGTGCTCTACATGTTCCTCTTTAGACTCGAGACATTTTTAAGGCGATGTTTGAAATGTTTACTGGCAATTTCCGCGGAATTTTCCTCACTTCATCACAAATTGTTTGTTTCAGAGTCTCAACAATGTTTCCAAACAGGTTTTGAAAGATCTTGTTCCTCAAGCAGCCCCCAAAAGAAGAAGTCTGAAGAATGCGAGGTCCAAATGTATTCGCTTTTGAAGCTGATCGCATGATCTTTAAAGTGGTCAGTCAGCCACGTCATTGATCTGACAGGACCGAGTAAATTAGCCTCATCATGTGTGATCCGCTTGTTTTGACGAGCCTAGTGTTGATTTCTTCCTAGAGCCGTCCACAATTTCATACGTTCCTAGACATTCCGGTCCGTTCATAGCTGTAACCTGTCCTTCTTGTGTGCTCAGATCCACACACACTATACTCCTTTCAGCGTATAGTGACTTCTGGAGTCCGTAGTTGATTGTTAGGATGCCCAGTGGACATTTTGGGGTTTAAATGTCCAGAAAAGTGATTATGAGCTTTGCTGCTGAACCAGAAGCCATCGTGGAAATTTTCTCCTTTATCATAATAATACAGGAACCATTGATACATTGCCTCCCTTTGATCACTGTCAGCCTAACAAAGCGTTTACTTGACATGAATACGGCACAGTCGTAGGTTAAGATCTGCCTGGAGAATACAGACCCTCGAGGTGTTGGGAAGCCCTAGCGCGGACAGACGTCTCATGGGACTCGACTGCTGAATTATGCACCTCAGTGATGTTTTAAGAGGTTCGAATGGCGCGTCATGCGAAAAAAGAAGGGGGGGGGGGACGAAATCGAAAATACCTCGCTTTTCATGCGCAATGTAGTGCACAAATATTCTGTGGAATTATCTATAATGAATATCAACAAATTTCTTTTGAATTCTAAATGTTGTGTTCCGATATGAAGCGCCCCGCTTCCGCGTGGAGGAAAATATTTAAAGACAAAGTTGTAAAGTTTTGTGTGTGTGTGGGGGGGGGGGTATCACCTGTATATAATGCATATACATAGAATGAGCAAACAACATGCTCTTTAGCCTCCCACCGAAACTAGCTAGGACGCTGAAAAGTAGAGGAGATTTAATGAAGTTGAAACAAATTGATGCTTTTAGACATACTTACAATAAAAAAAGAAGAAAAGAAAACGATAAAGAGAGTCAATGTTAAAAGATGGCGGACAAACGAAACGAGAAACTAATCTTTGGAGCCAAAAATATTAGAAATACTGAGTAAGAAGCCAAATAGATGTAGAAATCGAAATCAGTACGTTATATATTATCAGGAAATATCCCCTACAATATCGTTTTTCATTTGATCCAGGCGCCGATCAATTCCGGGGCATCTTTATGTGTAACAGATTTCCTTCTATTTTTCTTTATTCTTGTTCTTTTTCCCGTGCCAATCAATTCTTGGGCTCTCTATAGCATGAGAGATGATCTTGTATTTTTCTGTTCTCATCTGGTTTGACAGAGGAATAAAACATGATCATTGGAGGGGAAATAGACCCAGGAAATGAGAAAGCGATGAGATGAGGATGTCTCCTTAACTTCCTCTTTCTGTTTGGTGAACTTTATCTGTGAATGTAACAGACGTTAGTGTGTGTGTGTGTGTGTGTGTGTGTGTGTGTGTGTGTGTGTGTGTGTGTG